CACAGGAGCAGCAGATCCACATCAACCACAAACAGGCTTTATGAACTCTCATCATGTTTTTGAATAATACTAATCGGTTTTTGGACCAATCATGGTACTTAGACAGAACTACACCAGGTTGTAAAAGACCTTTGGTCCATTATGGATATGAAGAAACCCTCTGTATTTATATAACATTTTGCTGCAACCTTTGATACTGTAAACCACTTGATTCTTTCAGACAGACTTTAGTCTGATTGGACTATCTGATTCTGTTTTAACTGCTGTGAATGGCATCTTACCAATAGTGATTTTCTTTTTGTAAAAATGGATCGACAATTGCTCTTCTAAATGCTACAAAATTAATTTAAATGAATGTTAGTTTCTCAAGGTTCAACTTTTGGTCTTCCACTTTTTGACCTTCACATGCTGTAAAACATCAACAGGCTACAAAGCATCACTTTCCAGCGATGCTGATGACACACAGCTTTATTTGACTGCATCTCCTGATAACCCACAGCCAATCAATGTCCTCCTTAAGTGTGTTTCTGATATCAAATTATGGATTTTAGGTCAGTCAGGACCAAACAGATGTCTTGGTCACTGGTCGTGAGATTCAGAGACAGAAATTGTAAAACTGCAGCACAAAACTCATTGAGTCATCGTTGTCTCAGATTTCAGTTTTGAGCCTCACAATAGAACCACAACTCAGAATGAATTTTATCATGTGAAGATCATTTCCAGAGTGCAACCGTTTTTCTCTGAAGCTGATACAGAAACACTCCTGCACAATTTTACCATCTGCAGGATTATGATGCCCTGCTATCTGCTCTCACCAGGTAGAATATATCTCAACTGCAACTGCTTCAAACTCTGCTGCATGTATATCAACTTTAACAGAAGGAGAGCACACACTACTGAAGTTTCAAAGTTTCTTCAATGACTTCCTGCCTGCTTTAAAACTGACATTAACATCTTTTTTGTTTTCGAAAATAGTAAAATGGCCTTGGTCCTATGAGAATAATCAGTTACTCCAAAATTAATTTGATGACCCCATAACACTTAAGGTGGCAAAAAATAAAATTAAATAAAATAGAATAAAATGAGGGTTATTGTAGTCTCTGAAACCTCAACATTGCCAAGATAGGCATGTCTGTTCAAGTGTCTGGAAGCTTTTGTTCACCACTATACATCTGTACATCAGTAGGTCATTAGAGACCTTAACCAGAGCAGTTTTAGTGCTGTACAAAGAACAGAAACCAGGCTTGAAGATGCTGAATAGCTTATTTTGATTGATATAAACTTTACGAGCTAATCTGAAGCTATATTGTCATGTTTGTCCTTTGATAAAGCTGGGCGATTAACAACGCTGTATGTATCTCATACACAACCTGTGAGGGTTTTGTGAGTTGTTATAGTTAACGGCAGTTCCTCCACAACATCAACATCAAACATCAACACAGTGAAATCCATCGTTTCACTTTGTCACAGAGAATAAACAGATCTGAAATTAAAACTACACACTGGTTCATCACAATAATGACACTCTCTGGTTCATCTGCAGTGTTTTTGTGTGAAAAGCTGACAACTTGAACTGGACCTCATTTTGCTACTTTTACATATTTGACTCCCAACACAGTTAGAAAAACCTGAAGCTTTTTTTTTTTTTTTTTGCTTCACTCAGGTGACATTTCTGCAAATTCCTCCTTCAGTCTGGCCTGCTTAGATGATGATGATGATGATAGTGATGATGATAATGATGATGACGATGATGAGTGCAGCATCATTGTCATTTCTAAAGCTTCCATCAGGCTGAATGGAGACAGAGCACAGCAGGAGGAGGAGCTACACAACTGAATATGAAAGGCTTCATGTTGGAGCTGAAGAGCTGCTGTGTTCTCTCTATTGTTCATTCAGTACAAGTGAAAATAATGTTCCTGTTTCTCATCTGGATGATGATCGTCTCCTTTCAAACTGGTAAGTCATCAAAAGATGGAGCCAGATGTAAAAGGAGGGGACACACAAGTTAAACATTTGGATGTTGTTTGAAATGATGTTTTATATGACTAAATGTCATGGTCAATCTATGTTTGTTGTTTTCAGGATCCTCTGAGGATGTACTGACTCCATTTAAAGATGTATTGATGGCTTTGGAAGGAGACACTGTGACTCTCTCCTGCAACTATTCAGGCTCTGCCGACTACCTCTTCTGGTACCAACAGAAGTCCAGTTCATCTCCACAGCTTCTCATAGCAGAATATACAGAGAAAGTGGAAAGACTGTCTTTCAAACATGACAAACAGTCAAAGGAGTTTCATCTGCAGATCTCCTCTGCTGCAGTGACAGACTCTGCTGTGTACTACTGTGCTCTGCGGCCCACAGTGACAGGAAACAGCAAAACTCTGTACAAAAACCTTTGGAGCGAAGACAAGATAAAACTCCACAATATCCACTAGAGGGAGACACATCCCTGTTACACGTTTGTTGGGATTCATTCAAACTGTCTTGTGAATTCTTAAAGATACTGAAGACAACCGTCTCTGAGGAAATTTGGGATGCCTACTGAAATCCTCAGCAACTTCTACAGAGGTGCAGTTGAGGATGTGCTCACCAGCGCCATCACTGTGTGGCATGGGAACTGCTCCCTGCAGGACAGGAAGGCCCTCCAACGTGTAATAAAAACTGCACAAAACATTTCTGGAGTGGCCTTCCCATCGCTGCAGGACATCTACACTAGTAGGGTCATTAGGAGAGCCCACAATATCATTAAAGGCCACACACACCCACAGCACACACTCTTCATAATGCTGCTGTCAGGGAGGCGCTACAGGAGCGTGAAGTCAAGGACCACAAGACTGACAAACAGTTTCTTTCCTCAGGCCATCAGACTCCTGAACAACCAGAAACAATGACTGATCACTGCTATTCAATGTACAAACAATCCAGTTTACATGTGTCACCAGGCACTGTGCACTTTAAATGCTTATTTGCTGCTACATCACCTCAATGATGCTGCTACTTGTAAATAGTCTATATGCACCTTAGTTTCTGTCTCTTTTTATTCCTTTGTGTCTATTTATATTATTGTTTAATTTGTTTGTTTGTTTTTTATACATATATTTATATTTTTTATTATGTATATGTGAGTGTGCAAAAAAGTCAATTTCATTGCCCAGTGTTAAACTGCTGTTTTTAATGCTGCGCATATGACAATAAATGTCTATCTATCTATCTATCTATCTATCTATCTATCTATCTATCTATCTATCTATCATCACATCCAGATTAAAAAACTTATAGAATATATGACTGACATTAACAGCTGAATGAGCAGCAGCTGTCTAGAGGTAAATAAGGACAAGATCCACTTTCGTCAGATTGGGTCATCTCAGTTAGAAATAAAATTAGATTATCTTGAGTATAAAACAAAGTAACAAAATGAAAGATGGTACTAGCAGTTTTTGTGCATAGTGATTTGTATCATGTCACACATGTTCAGAACATAGAGGATCCTGTCTGTATTTAAAATAAAGAGCTGTGAGAGGAAGGAGGAAAGGATGAAGGGAGGAGCTAAACTGGGACTCAAGAACAGAAAACACATAAATTTTCACAGTGGAGTTTGATCCACAAAACAGACAGATTGTCTTCATCTTCAAGATGCTGTCAGTGAACTTGAGTCTGTTTGTCACTTTGTTTCTGTTCACAATAAGAGGTAGGTGACATATTTAACATGAACAGAGTTTGACTGAGAAAAACTAGTAGATCACAAAGTTCCATCTATTCTACATGGAATGAAACTATTTACAGCTGCTGATTGTTCTCCTTTAATCAATGATCTTTATTGATTTTTGTCTTCCTCTGCATGTTGTGTTCTTCTCCAGAGTGTAAAGGAGAAGACAAAGTGACTCAGTCGCCAGAAGTTGTCATTGCTGCTGAAAGAGACACAGTTACACTGGATTGTACTTTTAAGACCAGTGACACAAATCCCTATGTGTTTTGGTACAAACAAGAAGTAAATGGCTTTCCAAAGTACATTTTACAACGTTATACTTATGGAGATGATAACGCACCAGACTTCCACAAAGACAGATTTGATGCAAAACTCAACAAGACATCAGTTCCTCTGAAGATCCAGAAGCTTCAGCTGTCTGACTCTGCTGTGTACTACTGTGCTCTGAGGCCCACAGTGACAGGAAACAGCAAAACTCTGTACAAAAACCTTTGGAGCAAAGACGACAGAACACTCAACTACATCCACTCGAGGGAGACACACTTTGTTAAAGCTCTGATTTGTAAGTTGTTGGACTGATGACAAAGACAAGTGAGAAATGAAGCAGTAAAGATCAGAGACAGAGCTGCTGTGGAAACACAACAGACTTTTAAAAATATATATATATTGCCTTTTTTTTTGCCTTTATTTAGAGCAGTGGAGAGAGACAGGAAAAGAGGGAAAAGAATGGGGAGAGACCTGCAGCAAAGGGTTGTGAGTGGGAGTCAAACCCACGACCACTGCGTCGGGGAACTATAGCCCTGTTTATGGGTTTCCCACTCTGAACACTTTGATTGGCTGAACTGAACTAAAAAAATGATGTCAGAAGATAATTACCCTGCCCACTGAACTTCAGCTCATCCACTGACATTATTTCTTCGTCATTGTACTGCAGTGGAAGAACATTGTTCATCTGCTGTGTGTCTGACTTTAATAACTCCAAAGACATGTTGCTTTACCTC